GCCATGTTTATCACGTGACTTGGTTGAGGGGCAATCCATTACCAGCCTGTATTTACCCTTTAATCGCTGTCAATTTACCATAAATATCGAAGCCAAACTAAATTCCTGGATTGTCCTCTCTCAACTTCTTCTTCCGCCGTTTAATTACAAAATCTACTGGATGTTACATGCTGCCTGTTAGGTATACCCTCCCATGTTTATCTTGTGCGTGCGCCGTGGATGTTGTCATGGAATCCAACATTTTCTACTAAGACTGGGTATACCAAAATTTCCATACTTTCTTGGGCAATAACTTCCCCATAATTAATTTCGAGGTAAGGTATCTTTAAGCCTAACAACTTATAATCTTGTCTTCAACGTTACACTTAGCTATTATATTATTATAATGACGAGCAGTATAATCTAGTCTACAACGCTTACAATAGACAATCATATTATAAAAAAAGACCAGTATGATCTAATCTACAAAGCTAAACTCATAGTCACAAATAGTCAGGGATTTCCCTATTGGACATTTTATTAAAAAATTTATTTCTGTTTGTCTCTATTACAAGACATTTGTATTATTATATTAAATCTGTTATAATAACAACATTATAATGTCGGCCACAGGGAGTAGAATTAACATTAATAGTGTTTTCAAATCATGTATTTGGAGAAGGCTAAATCGGAGACGGTTCTGCACATTTTACCACTTGATGTCATATGTGGGTGAGGGTTAGAGTTAGAACCTGCAGATTTCGTCAAAGTCTCGAGATGTAAACAGGGTTAGCGCTAACCCTAACCCTGGGCCAAGCCCAACCCTTAGCTTAACCCTAACCCACAATCCACGTATGACGTCATATGTTCAGTACCGTCTCTGATCTAGCGTTCTCTCATCTATTTACGGTAATAACGAGAGTTTGACGCCGATTACGTCACGAGACACCATTATGTCACAAGTCACAATTACGTCACAAGTCTTATTATCGTAATTTCTGATTATGTTAGTCTTGATGGTTGACAGCCAGGGAAGAGATATAAAGATAGGATCTCTCTCTCTCTCTCTCTCTCTCTCTCTCTCAGTTTAGGTGAACGTTAAATATAAATAGATGTATTTGTTTGGTTTTTTTTTAGTCACTTCAACAGATTGTCCAACACCAGATTGTTAATTTGTACGATTCAAATAATGTACAACTAGGCAAGACCAACAACATACACTGTCATCAGACTAATCAACTAAAACAAGATGTTGATAGAATGAAGAATGAAATACAACAACTCAAGTCAGAAAATCAGACTCAAGCTGACGAAATACAAAAACTCAAGTCAAGGGTGAAAGTCCTGGAAGTAAAAACAGGAGTCAAGAAAACAAATAAAAATATAATTAAAGAAAAAGATGATATGATTGAACTTACTATACTATACTACAGCTTGTAAGTAGAAACATGGTCTTTATTCACTTGCTAATTAAACTGACAATATATTATATTTACCTTTATTTACAGTATTATAATATATATTTACCTGTATGATATAAGTATTATAATATATATTTACCTGTATTTACAGTGGTCTGTATAAGATGAATATAAGTATAAGTAGAGATCAAACAGTGGATAAATTAGAGAAGATGATACTGAATGAGTATAGAAAGAAGTATGGTGTAGAGTATGATGGTTATATTGGTTATATCTACAGTGATGCTGATCAACAGAACAAGTACATCTACCAACAACACAACAAAGATCTTACATTATCACACTTTAATATAATAGATAGCGATACAGTCACCCGGTGGTTCTAGTCTGTTGATGGTGTATAAAATATTAAATCATATATACTAACTATAAAACAATATTAAACATTTAACTTGAACATTGAATTCTATGTATATATACTAACTATAAAACAATATTAGATATATAACTTGATGGTGTATAAAATGGAGATGTTATTTTTACTGTGTATATAATTATAAAGACTGAATATGTTTTATATTATGTTGAAGTCCAGTTAAAAACTGTGACAAACGTATGAATACATCACGTGTGTGTGTGCGCGTGCGTGCGCGTGTGTGCACACTGCGGAGACAATGTTTTATATTCTGCTGAAGCAGAGAGCTAGTTCGGATCGGAGACGGTTCTGCACATTTTAGCACATACTATGTGGATTGCAGGTTAGGACCTGCAGATTTCGTTAAAATATCCAGATGTAAATAGGGCTAGCGCTAACCCTAACCCTGGGCCAAGCCCAACCCTTACCCATACCCCAACGCACAATCCACATATTGTGACGTCATATTGCAGGACCGTCTCCGATCTAACGTTCTCCATTCAGGAAACAGAGCACACTGTCGGTATGTATGACGCCACCATGTAATTGATGACGAAATAAAGACACCTCCTCATCAGTAATTTGATCCAGACTAGAACCTGTCAATCAATCATCAACCACTGTGTCATGTGACAAGGTGTTTTTATCGGTAGAGGTAATTGAGACGGACGATGATTTTATGTGAATACCACTGACACAAATACAATTTATATGTTACTATGGTAATATAATATACAATATAAAAATATAAATATTTATGGTAAAAAATTGTTGTGGAATTAATTTATATAAAATAAATTATGGGAGATTAGATAAAGAGCTGACAGTTCTCACTATAATAGTTAAATACTAGATAATGCAAAGGGAATTTGCTGAAAATTTCATTCAAATTGATCCTCTTCGAACCGAGAATTTAGCGATTGAATTTTGGATCTAGACCAACATAGTTTCGATTATCCATTTTTTGATTCAATCAGCAGCAGCAGATCGGGTTCTAATCCAGTAAATATCGCAGGCTAGCGATGACATGTAGAGTTGATTATGGCCTGGATAAGTTCATTAATGTCTAATTAATAATTTAGATAACATTTCAGGCCTAAAGAAAGACCTGCAATTGGAAGATTTAGCTCTTGCATGATGTATGCTTAATTCGGGGTCCGCTTTTACATGGAGTCCCTGGCTGTAGCCCCATCACCCGAAGTAAATCCGACCCTTTTGGCGGATTGATTTTATTCCGCTTATGGATAATGTTTATTTTAGACTGCTGATGCATCCTCTATATTATCATTACAAGGGCTGCTATCAGTTATTATGAATTTAACTCTACCATTCAAGCTGGGTTGTTCTTCATGATTTTAACTGCAGTGACATACTAATTAGCGTTAATACAAAGAAAAACGACAGTCCATTTATTCCCAAATCTTCTCTTGTTGGTTGACATCTTTAGTTATGACTGCCGGGGCATCCCTTTTATTATCATAATAAATACGGGTATTACGAAAGAAGGGCATCACGAAAGGAGGGTGTAACGAAAGAAGGGCATCACGAAAGAGGGGAATTACGAAAAAGGGATTCACGAAAGAAGGGAATCACGAAAGGAGGGAATCACAAAAAAGGGATTCACGAAAGAAGGGAATCACAAAAGATGGGGATCTCAAAGAAGGGTAGGCCTATCACGAAAGAAGGGTATCACGAAAGAAGGGTATCACGAAAGAAGAGTATCCCGAATCAACGTCACACTGTCGATCTAACGTAATATCTCGAGGCGGCTACATGGAAGCACCCGCGCCTGCCGTAACGCCTGTGTAGTCCCATTGCGAAATGCTCTAATTAATTTCTGTTGTATTTGATGTGCAGACAGCCCCACCCCCAACTCTTCTCTTTATGCATAGGAGAATCGTGTGATTTAACAATGAATAACTTTATAAAAATAACGTTTGGTCTGATGCCTTCTATGTTTAAATAGCTAGAGTTACTTACCTTTATTTAGAAACGTCACGCAGCTAAATCCAGAAATTCATTCGAAACGTCGAGGCAAGATGTGCAATTGGCAACGCGAATAATTTTGAGATAATAATGATATTAATAATCTTCATTATTATAGATTAAAATATGTAAAGTTGTTTATAATTCTGTAACCAGACATTGACTTATTATCGATGTCTACCAGTAAAAATAATTTCCAATACTGGTAGACATTGAAGATATATAAATTGGACAGTAGTATCCCTGGTTCACATGGAGAAATACGGTGTTATCCGAATGCAATAAAATGTAAACACGAAGGCCGTTGACCTCTCAGCGTGTAACGGTCAGTCGGATTCCTGACACTACTATTTAAAAATTATAAGTTAGTCAGAATGGCATGATACAAGGGAAATTGATATGGTTGGTAAATTTTAACAGAAAATGCATGTGTAAACAATATCTTGTTAGATTAAAATCTAGATATTAACTTTTGAATGATTGATATACGGTATGGTAGGCCTAATAATAATTGATGGAAACAGCCGAAGACCGAAGATCCAATGAACGCCAATGATAATTAAAAGCAAAATGTAGCTTACCGTATGCCAAATCTTTGAACTTCTGTTTTTTTTGTTTTGGAAATTAAAACTTGGGCACCTCACACGTGACATCCACCAGAAATGTTTCATGAAACGCAGATTAAATTGTAATTGGGTTTTACGTCCTATGAACACGTCTGTCATTCAGTCAAGTGGCATGCTTCGATTCCCTGCATGTACGTGACAACCTCTAAGATTTTCTCCGAGTTAGTCCCAAAATGACATTGTATGTGTCGGGTGGACGACCCCCCCCCCCTCCCCCTCTTTCTGTGTCTCCCTTACAGTTGTATTGGGAGTCGCTTGCACCAGGTCCGGTAGTTACTTTAGTAACGTAAATTGTATCGGCTCTGCTCTCTACTACGTTACTGTCAGCTCCTAATGACAACTAGTATGAAAATAAGGTTTTTTCCCCCATCTCGGTTCCCCCATTTTGGAGCCCTTACCGTCTATTTTTCAAAGTGATTCTTCTTTGGTCTCCAAAAGGAAACATTTCTTGTCACGAAAATAATTGAAATGGCTAGTCTGACATGTGATTGTTTTAAATTTGCTAAACTTTTATTTTTTATATTTTTATATTATTTAGTGCGATAATAAGAGAGATGATAACTGAAATGGCATTAGGGAGGATAAAATGTGAAATAGCTAGTGTGACATTAGGGAGGATAAAAAGTGAAATAGCTAAGGGGGGATAATAAGTAAAATGGCTGGTCTGATATTAGGGAGGTTAATAAGTGATGTGACACACTGTGTATCGATCCAGTGTAACACTTGTTTACAAGTTGGGTATATATAGGTCAATATATAGTGTAAACTTGTATATCACTAGTGGTCACGGTTGATATTCTATACTACATACAGGTGATATATATATACACAGTTCTCAAGACGGTAAGCTAGGTTGCAGGTAAGATTACATACATATTGTCTGTTTTATAATAATACAGGTGTAAATTATCTGGTTGTCAAGACGACACATGAACTGTTATAATACACAATAAACATAGAATTAGGTAATATGTACATGCGCTTTATGGTTAGAAGTTTATCAGTGTCATTTGAGTCAAGTTTGTTTTCGATCGCACTGATCGCAGGCTTGTACCAGTACGGTACTTTATAATTTCAGTAATTCGCTTGTGTGTAGCGGTCTAGAGCAGCGGAAACTGGAGTAACCCGTGAGGTTAGGCAGGCTATCCATCCTACTCCTTCGCCCCTGAGTCCTGGTCTAAAAGCATGGAATCGACAGTTCTTATGGTCTAAGTTAAACGTGTTAGACGACGTTGAATTATTAAATTATGTATGATAATACAAGATTCGTGTTAATCATCAAACAGTTTAGAATTCACTCAATTTACTTACTAACCGAGGTGTCCCGGGTTCGATCCTGGTTTTTCGTGGTTCCCCTTTCAAATGGTGTATGACGGAAGGTCTGACAAGGAACAGCGCCTAGTCACTCGTATAGGACAGAAAAAATAAATCCCACGTAAAATACCATAGGATGCTTGATAATTGGAATTCAACATGGCGGAAAGACCACTGCCCGGGCACAAAAAGTCCCTTGAATTACACTGGAGGGCTTATCCCGGTTGGTTCAGACGTTAAACCCCATTTCATTTCAATGTAACAATAGATTAGTTAAATGACAATAATAACTGTGTTTATAGACAGTGTTGTATATTGAATAATAAGATCAGATAGCCTATATGAGATATACAGTGTTGTATAATAAAACTAGATACGGTAGATTGCCTACACATTAATATATCAGTCATAGGCCTATTCATGTTAATATATTAAAATATACCAGCCCATGTGTTTATATTAAAATATACTAACAGTCATAAATATAATATGTTACATGAACAACCCGAAGAGGCGCGGTGACTCATTGAGTTAGACTCGCTAACCTGGATGTTCCACTTTGTCAATGACGCAGAACAAAGGGCCTGTATAGAGGTCCCGTGTACACATTGGAATTCGATATAAGAGTAGGCATTATCACCGCTGTACGGGCAAAATTTCCCTCATAGCACACTGTATGACGTATGCCCGTCTTCATTAACTCAAGTTCAGAGCAGAACAGTAAGACGTTAAACCCATTCCATTTCATTTTCATTATGTAAGATTCAAACCCATCCCACCTTATTAATTTGTACGTTCGTTTAACTTTCAGCTTTGATAGGATAATTATCACTGTGTACATGTATATTATACAGGAATGGATGAATCAAAAGATCCCGACAGAAACAGATGTGTGAAGAATAATATTACTAATGTTAAAACAGCAGATACGGTGATAACATGTAACTCAAATGGTGTTGAATCAAAAGATCCCGACAGAAACAGATGTGTGAAGAATAATATTACTAATGTTAAAACAGCAGATACGGTGATAACATGTAACTCAAATGGTGTTAAAACAACAGATACGGTGATAACATGTAACTCAAATGGTGTTAAAACAACAGATACGGTGATAACATGTAACTCAAATGGTGTTAAAACAACAGATACGGTGATAACATGTAACTCAAATGGTGTTAAAACGGTCTCCAATATTCTGTAAGTATACTGGAATAAAATGGGGTTTAACGTCGTGTCCGCATGTTTGTCTTGAAGGGATCGTAAATTGTAATTTTTATTGAATCAATTTACTTTCAAATCATTTAACTCTCAAGTTCTGCCATCACGTGCGTCTTGAAATGTTTATTGCGCATTTTAGATAAATACAAACGCTTTCATCTGAGCTTTACGGTCTCTGATCTGCGCAGAAATCAGATTATATTTGCGTAACCGATATTTCATCTTGCGTAATACGACATTTGGTCGTAGGTTTTAGATCTGTCGCTACCGCACGCAACGGATTGGTGTCGTTCGTTTGAAATAACGCGGCTGGTGTCCAAAAACCTCTCACAAGATTAAAATCGGTCTTCTTAGAAATTATGTAAAATTGATTCTGGATCAAAATATTGGTAAACATGTCCAGTTATGGACAAATACCAATGTACGCCGATAACCCAATTATATAATTATCGATCGATATATAATGTAATCGACAAGAAAACCGCGGTGACTCAGTGTGTAGGGCGCTGTTCGATCTTTCGACATTCTTTTCCCTTGTCAATGGTGCAGGATGGAGGGCCTGAGAAGAAACAGCGTCTAGTCATTCGGATGGAAAGTAAAACCGAGAACCCACGTACACATTGTTGTACAAAAGAATAGTGTCGGTAACCGGTCAAAATTTCTCTCATAGCCACAATAAAGCAGAGGTATAGGACATTAAACCCCATTTCATTTAATTTTGTCATCGGCTCATCTCCCTATTATTGTTATTATTTGATAGAAATGACCAAGTGTATGACTATTGTTATTATTTGATAGAAGTGACCAAGTGTATGACTATTGTTATTATTTGATAGAAGTGACCAAGTGTATGACTATTGTTATTATTTGATAGAAATGACCAAGTGTATGACTATTGTTATTATTTGATAGAAATGACCAAGTGTATGACTATTGTTATTATTTGATAGAAATAACCAAGTGTATACGAATGGTGATTATAAGGAAATCAAAATCCAGGATGAAAGAGATTCGTGTAAAAAGGAAGAAGAGGAACCCAGGAAGAAACGGGATTCAGAAGTTGGACGATTTGTAGAGGTGAAATATTTGATTTTTATTCGCTCTACAGGTTACATTGATATATGTTGAGAGACGAACAATCCTATTGAATTTTAACAGTGATTTGTAAAATCCCTTTCATAGTTGGAGCCACGGTGATTAAGTGAGTAAGACGCTGGCTCGCTAGTCTGGAGGTTGCGGGTTCGATCCCGGTATTGGCCGAGAAAGTCCATCGGGATTTTCCGGCATGGGTTCTCTTTGTCAGTGGTGCAGGACGGGGAGCCTGACAAGGAAAACTGTCTAGTCGTTCGGATGGGACGAAAACCGAGGTCCCACGTACACATTGACGTGAACCTAAACAATACCTTGGCAGTTGGCATTCGATAGAAGAGTAGGCCGTAGCGCCGCTGTCCGGGAAATGTTTCTCTTATAGCACACTGTATGGAGTATGCCCGTCTTCATTAGCCCAGTCGGAGCAGAACAGTAGGACGTTAAACCCCATTTCATTTCAGAGTTGTCGGCCCGTGAATAACATTATCATCCTTATATTAATATGAACAGTTTAGACATTATACTTTCAGACTTTGAATTGAATTATCTCTAATAATAATAATATGTAATAATTATGTAAGATTTAGATAAAGAGCTGAACGTTCTTGCTATAACAGGTTATATTTTATTAGCTATTAAAGAACGTTCTTGCTATAACAGGTTATATTTTATTAGTTATTAAAGAACGTTCTTGCTATAACAGGTTATATTTTAAGAATTATTAAACTGTATATTGTATTAGTTATTAAAGAACGTTCTTGCTATAACAGGTTTTATTTTATTAGTTATTAAAGAAGAAAAGTATACAAGAGAAATTGGTGTATGTGATATCTCTAACCACTATAGTTATACTGGTTCACGGTCTCTTCTCTGTTCAGTGGTTATTACCATATTATTATACCATTACTACACCTATTCTACTACTCATCAGAATTATCATATATTGGTAAGTCTGGAACACTTCGTACCACCTCTAATATATATATATATAGAGAGAGAAATGGGGTTTAACGTCCACTCGACACAAACTAGGTCATTTCGGGACTAACATATGGTTTAATTTTATTTCAATAATTCGCTTGCGCGTAGGGGTCTTTAGCAGTGGGAGGAAACCGGAGGACCCGGAGAAAACCCACGAGGTTAGACAGGCGACCCCACTCCTTGTCACGTACAACCGGGGATTCGAAACCACGCCAGTCGACTCAATGACAGACTTTATGATACAGCGCGCGCACGCTAACCATTCAGCCATCCAACCCCCCCCTCTAATATAGTACCATTACTACACACCCATTCGACACCAGGTAATTTCGGTTTAATTTTATTTCAATATTTCGCTTGCATGTAACAATATTAGCAGTGGGAGGAAACCTGGGGACCTGGAGAAAATCCACGAAGTTGGCCAGGCACCCTTACTCCTTGTCACATACAAGCGTGGAAATCGAAACCACGCCACTTGACCCAATGACAGACCTTATGGGTTCACGCACACGCGTTAAACGACTAGACCACACACTCTCCCACCCCACATAAGAGTCGTGGTTAATATTTGTAAACTATAAAACTGTAGATATTTTTTAACCTGGTCATTCTAGACTGTACAATAGACAAATTATTTCTGAGCTTCGTCAAATTCAAGGATGAGATAGGAGAAGATGGCTGCTCGATCCCTGAAGGTCGGGTGTTCGATCCCTGCATTGGCCGAGAAAGTTCATAGGGATTGTCCGACGTGGTTTCCCCTTGTCAGTGGTGCAGAACGGAGGGCCTGACAAGGACAACTGTCTAGTCCTTTGTATACATTGGAATGCACGTAAAATATCTCTTGGCAGTTGGAATTCTATATAAGAGTAGGCGATAGTGCCGCTGCCCGGGAAAAATTTCCCTCATAGCACACTGTATGGCGTATGCCCGTCTTTATTAGCCCAGAGCAGAACAGTAGGACGTTAAACCCCATTTCATTTCTTTGTTTGTGTTTTCAGGAATCATTCCGGAGTTATTTCCCTTTCCTTATAATATTGATAAGTAAAAATGAAATGACAGCTCATGTAGTCTACAACTTAATAATCGTTCGAATGGGATGAAAAACCGAGGTCCCGTGTACACATTGGCGTGCAAGTAAATGAATCCTTGACATTTTCCTTCATAGCACACTGTACGGTAGAACGTTAAACCCCATTTCATTTCATTTTCTATTATAAGGTTCCAGAGAAATAGATTTATTCCTTTTAAATGAGAGTTTTATATGTATATGTTTATTTTCAGGGGTTATAAATGGCAATATTTGAATTTTATATCTATATGTTTATTTTCAGGGGTTATAAATGGCAATATTTTTTGATAGATTTCTGTTACTATGGAAACATAATGTGGTATTCCTTTATATGGTGAGTACAGGGAAGGGGTTTTTATAAAGATCAAATTGTTTATAAGATTTTGATGAAACGTAAAATATATCTTTATATCACACAGAATAATTTCAGTCCCTTGCGATATTCGCGCATTTCGGACCGATTGTACGAAAAATAGCTTGTTCTCTATCTATCTCTTGCAAAATGTGGGCGTATCTTGACTGGCAACGGCTGGTTGAATGACATTTTGTTATTGAACATAATATAGCTATTTATTGTCTGTTTCAGGATGGCACCACATCAAGCTGAAATGTTTATTATCTGTTTCAGGATGGCACCACATCAAGCTGAACTATTTATTATCTGTTTCAGGGTGCCACCACATCAAGCTGAACTATTTATTGTCTGTTTCAGGATGACACCACATCAAGCTGAACTGTTTATTGTTTGTTTCAGGATGGCACCACATCAAGCTGAACTATTTATTATCTGTTTCAGGGTGCCACCACATCAAGCTGAACTATTTATTGTCTGTTTCAGGATGACACCACATCAGGCTGAACTGTTTATTGTTTGTTTCAGGATGGCACCACATCATGCTGAACTGTTTATTATTTGTTTCAGGATGGCACCACATCAAGCTGAACTATTTATTGTAGTGTTTGCGTTGGCTAATGGACCCATGGTGTGGGCGATGGTAGTATTCAGGAATTCTTTAGTTTTACACTGTATAGATAAAACTACCTCGGTTTATATCCATCTACTACCCGCTCTACTCTCTTTCGTGTAAGTAACATCCAATATCACTTCTCTTTCGTGTAAGTAACACTCAGTATCACTTCTCTTTCGTGTAAGTAACACTCAGTATCACTTCTCTTTCGTGTAAGTAACACTCAATATCACTTCTCTTTCGTGTAAGTAACACTCAATATCACTTCTCTTTTGAGTAAGTAACACTCAGTATCACCTCTCTTTCGTTTAACTAACACTCAGTATCACTTCTCTTTCGTGTAAGTAACACTCAATATCACTTCTCTTTCGTGTAAGTAACACTCAATATAACTTCTCTTTCGTGTAACTAACACTCAGTATCACCTCTCATTCGTGTAACTAACACTCAGTATCACTTGTCTTCCGTGTTAATAACACTTAGTATAACGTTTCCCTAATCTTGAGATCCCGTATTTGATCCCTTTGTTGACCTAGAAAGTTCAAGGTTCCCCCGTGTCTGGGTCTGACAAGGGACAATTTATAGGACTCCCAGTTTACTGAAATGACCGTGAAATGAACGCTGGAGTCCTGACACAAGGTCCGCGGGAGGAACATCGGGACTATTGATAGGACCTCGGGGATATTGACACGGCCATAGAATAAACTCCTGGATCCCTGACAGGCCTATAGAATAAACTCCAGACAGGGCCGTAGAATGAACTCCTGAAAGAATCCTCGGAATCGTGATCCAACGTTTGTTTGTATCTCAATCTTATTCATCAGTTTTATTTTCTAGTTTTCTGTGATGGTTATTTTTGTATTTGTTCAGAATACGTTGGTATCCACGGAAGTGTTCAATATACTGGTACAGTGAGTTTATACCCGTCATATTAGAATGGTCAATGTTGTGGATTATAATCATTCCTCTAGTCTGTTTCATTCTTCATAGCGTAAGTTATTTCCTTAGTTTTAAATACCCAGAGAGAGAGAGAGTGAGAGAGAGAGAGAGAGAGAGTTTGACCTAGTTTATCTAATTATAGAATGTTATATTTTCAGATGTTATATATAATTGTTATAAGTATAATGAAACCGTCTGATGAATATTTAACTAGTTATCGATACCTCACAGCTAAAACAACCAAATTAGTTTTTAAAGCTGTCAACATATTTGGACCCAGGTAAGATAATTGTAATCACGTGATTTAACTGTATTTTATTGATAAATTATTCACTCAAGTTTACTGGCAAACCATCTTTTACGGTTTCCTGATATTTGTGGAATATACTCGCATATTTGTGGAATATATCTGTACGTTATGTCTATAATGTTTCCTATAAAATATTCCTCATAGTCATCAGGAGAAATGAAATAGACATAGATCAACTATGGACCAATAGCTTCCCCATTGACTCTAATGTTAAGGGTTGAACCCTTTCTACCACAGATGGAGCAACATGTGTCAACCCCTTGTTCAAAACCAGATATGAGCTTTACTATGGAAAACTTCACATACACAAACTGAAAGTAGCCATACTAGTAAACATGCAATTTCTGCCCTACATTTCAACTTAACCAAACTCTCGTATCCTTCCGCCCCAATATCATGAATATTCACCAAAACCTGACAGACAATATAATAATATATTCAAATCCTTCTCTTCGATTCTACACCAAAAAGTCACCAAAAATCATCATGCAACAGGTGAAAAGGATGGAAAAGACAAAAAATAACTTTTGCACTAAATTCATTGGTAATCAGCGTAGAAATGGGGTTTAACGTCCACTCGACACAAACTAGGTGGTTTCGGGACTAACATATAGTTCAATTTTATTTCAATAATTCACTTGCGCGTATACGACTTTAGCAATGGGAGGAAACCGGAGGACCCAGAGAAAACCCACGATGTTGGATAGGCGTCCCTGCGTCTTGTCACATAAAAGCGGGGAATCGAAACCACGCCTTTGACTCAATGACAGACCTTATGATACAATGTGCAAAGTTTTGTTTTTCTGGATCAAAGATATTTCTCATAAACAGTGATTGAAAGTTGAGTAAATTCATAACTTAAAGTCTGAGAATACTTTATGAACACGGGGCCTGGTGTCTATTTTGATGTCACTGACTAATAATAATAATAATTATATTACAGTATTTTGTATTTTTCAGATGGCGATTGTTAATATATAATATATTCAACTGGTTGTTTTGTTTGATATGCGTTACCATGACAATCATATGGTATAACTATTTTATCGCTCACTGTGTCTTTCTTGGCGCCATGTTTTTAATCGTGTCCTACAATGGCGCCAGTTTTTATATGGACGTGTTCAGTGTCCGAGCAGAAGTATTTAAATGAGGAACAAACTAACTAACAAGTTAAAGTTTTACAAAGAATGATTCACTGTTTGAAGTTGTTACCATGACAAATGACGAACATGTTAACTGAAGACAAGAACACAAAAGGTTCAAGTTTTAAAAATGTCTTTCGGTTGGAAGCTGTTTTAAATCAAGGACTTACTGATGGAAGCTGTTTAAAATCAATGACTTACTGATAAAGCTGTTTAAACAACGACTTTCTGTTGGAAGTTCTTTGGAATCAATGACTTACTGATAGAAGCTGTTTAAACAACGACTTTCTGTTGAAAGTTGTTAAAAACCTCAAGAACATACTATTGAAAGTTGTTACCATGACAGTGAATCACGGATACACCACGCACTGGTTTTAGCCAAATCTTGTTTATTATACCACAGGTCGCCAGACTAACAATGACGGATTCAGGTGGGAAGCCTCTAACACCCACCCCACCCACACTAAATAACTGTATAAAAATTACATTTATTAGTATGTTTCTATGAAATGTGAACTGTTTGTATGGCGATGTTTTAAATGATGAAATTTGAACTGTCTGTATGGCGAAGTTGTTGATGATGAAATTTGAACTGGTTGTATGGCGATGTTGTTGATGATGAAATTTGAACTGTCTGTGTTACGATGTTGTTGATGATGAAATTTGACATTAAATACGACACCCCGATCTTGGAGTTGGACCTCCAAACCTAATACCCTGCCTCCGTCACTAACTGGGGTTACCATGGAAACACCCCCTTTATTGTGTAACATAATTGGTGGACAGTGTAAACCTGATACTCGATGTTTTAAGATAACTTGTTTTAAAGGAGCTATGGTTGAATCAAATCTGTATTCTAGAGAAGTCAATTGTTTGACTTAATTCCCTTAAACCTCTATGATTTAGACCATAATGAACTTTTGAGTTGGTCTGTTTCGATGGGGAGCCAAAAATACAATGACAAATGTCTGATTTGTAAAACAAATATTGATTTTAGTATAAAAATATCGAAATACGACAACAAATGAAGAAATAAGAATTAAGGACTATGGATTAAGAATTAAGAACATTGAATAAAGAGCTGTTTGGTCTTCCATACATTAAAAGTTGAATAATCAAGTTGAGTGTAATTTATCACGCTTCTACGTAAAAGGAGAAGGATTGACTAGGTCGGAAACGGGCGGTTATTGGGGTGTGGTGGGTTGGTATGTTTAGCAAGTATGTGTTTTTTGATCCGATTGTGGCAACGTCGACACCACCACCATTATGGATTCGCTTCTCTGACAGCCCCCTTCCCTCACCATTTATGACTTCTGACAACCCCCACTCGTCCAATATGGCTCCACTACGCTGGCAGCCCAAAGAAAAAGAGAAGAAAATTTGGATAGTTTGACTGCCGAAAACGCGTTGTGGAACCTAGCGTTAAGATGGTTGTATTAAGGGCAAGGTAAAGTGACACCATTTTGTCACAACACCTGAAAAGATGAAACATTTATTTCAAAAACCAGAACAGTGGCCCTTGGATACAAAAGTCTAAAATAAAAAACATTACTCACAGACCACTGAGGCGTAAATTTATGGTGAAAATATCGCAAAATGTCCAACAAACGCGGTTACACCTACAAGAATTATTTGAACTTTCTGACTTTACTTATCACATTCAACTATTGTCCCATGGTGTGTACAACAACCGTGGAGACTCGCTTTTTCAATTAACCTCTCTATTAATGTAATACATATTTCATTACGTTAGGTACATACTCGCATGTGCTTTAGCCATTTTGTTATTTCACCTCGCCCTTCTTCTCCAGTGACCCGCTGTTGACATATCACTGAAGCACGAAAAATCGCCGGGTTGATCGAACCTACTGACGGAATAAAATCGAGGGAAATCAATTATTTATATACCTATATATTTTTAAAAACCCTAACCCGTTGCAGTTTCTTTCTGATCACCCATTATATACAATCGTAGTTCCGAATACAGCTCAAACGACCTTCACCCTTTACAGGTATTACTCCACGTTCAATGAGTTTTTGGCTCAAGTTTATAATTTGCTGTAATAAGTGTCATATTATGTGGCATACTATTTGACACATATCAGTAAGAATATGTTGCTTGTATTAAAATGTGTTGGTGAAGTGTAGCTTATGGAATTTAAATTGGCTTTGCCGGACTATTGCCATTCGCTGCAGAATTTCTAGAATGTGTCATTCGGCCTCCAAATGTCAACAATTAAGAAATTTGGCAAAACTTTATTTCGTGAATATTTTGAGAGAAATGTTTTGTAAGGAGAAAATTTGAAAGGTACTGTGGCATTATGTAGCATCGATGTCATTTGTGATCGGATAGCCGATCTCTGGAGATGTGTTTTTTTTTTTAGAAAGATGGGACGAACTGTCAAAAAAGTTGGTACATGTGGTTTCGTCGTCAAGTGATCTCAAATTCGTTGAATAAATTTTATATTCATGTTGGTAAGTACACACTGCATTCTTGCATTGCAACTTATGTCGTGGTGGTATCAATTTGGAAAAAAAAATGTTTTTAATTGCTTATCCTGTATTTTGTTTGGGATAACGGAACGCCACAGGTAGCACATGCCAAAGACGACAGTCTTCAATTTATTTGCCTAATCATTTGGGCTTTTTGAAATTAAAACTTTGCCAAAATGCATTATTATCCATTGAAAATTATTGTTGGATATTTTCAATTTCTTCTAGTGATAAATTTTATGGGTTTATATATAAGTTAAAATTATCATGTTTTAGCCTAGGCCTATATTATTAAATTATTTTTTGTGTCTTACTTAATACTTTATTTAAGACATGGTTTGTTGGGTTTTTCATTTTTAAAATTATTATATAATAATTATACTATTATAATTATGTGTTGTTTATTTAGGATTTGTTTCATATAAACTTTTCACTGATATACCTTGTAATTTTTATTCTTATTTTACAGAATTGGACAAGATAATCTACGCAGATTATGGTGGCCGTGTTGCTTTAAAGTTAAAGGAGGTAAATCGCTAATATTTGAGACCTAGAAATTGACACAAATGGGTAGCAACGCATATAATAATGTAACTGATTTACATTCAATCGTTTCCGTTTTACTCAAATTTCAATTCAATTATGTTCAGCGAAATATGTCAGAAATCTCAATTGAATGACAATCTCTAGCGTCTGGTTATTCCAGTCTACAATAATAGTATTTATTGTGCATACTCTCCAGATAAGAATATGGCATCACCGCTTAACATGACTTGTGGAATATGTCTAGCCTCGTTCTTCGAGTACCTTATGGTACACGATACGTGTACCAATGGTAAAATGATTATTTTGTCTGAAATATCGGATATCAGAAGCCCATCTTTTCCCGGTAAGATCACAACGTCAATGTTGATTTAAACTGACAAATAATTTGTATTATCAAGGTGGAAGACTTTGGATGATATTGAGTTAGAGACTTGTGTAATTTGACAGATAAACAAGGAAAACTATGATTTCTATGGAATTTAAAGCAGCATTAAAATTTTGGGGCATTTATGATAAAAAAAAACCCTTTAAAATGGTACGTATTGTCAATTTATATGAAAAAACCCCTCAAAAACATTAAACATTCCGAGTCAAATAAAATAGGTGAATACATGTATGTGTGGATTTAAAATCCTCCAAACTGATGGTTTATGTATCTACAATGGTAGCTGTCTTTTTTTAAATCTAGCATACCAAAAGCAACCATTAAATACATGCCAATCAAAAACATTTCCTATCTAGACAGTTAAGTTATACTTTTGCAAAGTGATGAGTGTTGTGCATGGGCAAGGTATGCCCAAAATATCACTATTAATATTACACAAACCCTGTTGGCAAGTTTACAAATCTATGTAGGCCTTCTAGAAGACAGAAATATTGTACATCTGTGAATGGATGTGATTCATGTATGTCAACATCTAATTAACTAGAACATCTGATATCACTTCCCATTGGAAAGTTTGCAAATAATGCTGAATGTTTTACACATGTACATGTATATTGAGAATTTGTGTATGTGCTGGATTTAGAAAATGAATTGAAAAATACACCTTTACATTCTTATTATTTTTTCAGAAATATAGGCCAGGAACTGAAATGTGATTTAGGATTTGTTAACTTAAATATAATAACAGGTGGGTATAACAAATTGTAAATAGTGTGGATTATTCCATTTGATGTACATACATTAGCTGAATGCTTTTTAATTAAATTGGGTGGCCGAAAGTATAATGCGTGCACATTTGATCACAAGGTCTGTCATTGAGTCCAGTGGCGTAGTTTCAGTTGTCCACTTGTATGTGACAGGCAGTAGGGTCGCCTGTCAAGCCTCGTGGGTTTTCTCCAGGTCCTCCCACTGCTAAAGATCCCTGAAATGACCTAGTTTGTGTCCAGAAGACATGAAACCCCCCTCTCTCTCTCTGTCCCTCCCTTTCACACAAATAATACATTCATCATTATGGTATAACTATATACATGTAATAAGCCTTAGCAGACATACATACATTGTAGTATAGCCCTGTATTCAAGTCATGAAAAATCCCTGCAAAAAGGCTGCTATTATTGTAATTAGATGTCATATCCGGAATATGAAGGCTATTTGTACAATGTGTACCTCATATCATAGGGGCAATATTGCTGTCCACTGTGCCACTAGAGGGAGGGAGAGAGAGAGATAGAGGGAGAGAGAGAGAGAGGGAGAGAGAGAAAGAGGGGGGAGGGAGAGAGAGAGAGAGGGGGAGAGGGAGGGAGAGAGAGAGATAGAGGGAGAGAGAGAGAGAGAGGGAGGGAGAGAGAGAGATAGAGGGAGAGAGAGGGAGGGAGAGAGAGAGAGAGAGAGAGAGAGAGAGAGAGAGTTGTGTAATAATATTTGGTGTATTTAAAACAATAGAACATATTATTGTCATCAAATAATACAAGTCAATCATATTAACATTCCCTTTATTTATTTATTACAAAATGTCAAATATTTACTTTACATCTTCCATGGTTCATTAAATGTCATTTAATTTAATTAATTTGATGTTTTAACTGAAGATGTTAAAATGTATACATACTCGTCGGGCCGGGATTCCTTGGGTTGGTGGGGGGGGGGGGGGGCTGTAAGGGTAGAGACTCAAAATGGAGTTCCGAGGGCTTGTCCCTGGAAAGTTTTTAATGCTGAACTCTGTTTGTCGATAAGGTGTGAAGGCCTCGCATTACCTCACACGTAATTTGAAGGAAAATCGAAGTCTCTTTCGAGCTCATAAGGTTTTTGGAAAGGGGGGGAGGGGCATACGATAATCTTCAGTTTTCCCTTTTTTGTGTGTAATTAATAATTGATAACAATAATTTAAGTAAATCTATGATTCCTGAAAACACTTGACTACGTGGATGAAACTCAAATTAAAATTGCCACTTTGTCAAGAGAGAGGGGGTGCATGCCCTCAATGTACAGGTAAGTAGACTTATTTATCCTGAACATAATATAGAAACTGGATTATTTCATAGTATCTTATCTTTTTTTGTTTGATCATATTTTATTAATAAATAACTTTTGACTTTGAGAACGTTTAAAATCTCACAAGGTAATTTTATTTTCATAATGATTAATGTTAATATTCTTGGCGACACTTTAAATGGGTCATCTTTCAGTACTTATGACCGAAATAACGACGGTAATGCCAACAGAAACTGTGCTCTCCAATATGCTGGTGGGTGGTAGTTTAATGGTCTAAACGGTTGCTCCACAAATTCACTTACATCAATATTCACCTGTCCTATGGTCCAATGACAGTAAAACAGTTTCCAGATCACCAGTACATAAAACAATATTCAGTATGTTGAATTAGACATAAAAACCGACCAGTAAAAACGTGACTCGGGTCCCGCTATTTATAGACTCAGGTCCCGCTATTAATAGCTTCATTTATACTCCAATGACGAAGAGGTTTACAGAGTATTGACTATAATAATAGTAAACAAATAATGTATTAAACCAATTGATAAGATTAGGTTTACATCGAACAGGTGTAATCTTGTGTAGGTCTACTATAAGAAAGTCTATGAAACTGACCATGTTATAATTGTATATTTTATCATAATTTGACACATTATGTAAATGTAGATAGTTGCATTATTACTTCCTATGTTATTGTAAACATTTTCTAATTTTTATGTGTATGCTGATCTCTAGTGGTTCGGATTGGACGAAAAACCGAGGTCTCGTGTACACATTGGCGTGCACGTAAAAGATCCCTTGTCAGTTGGAATTGGATATAAGAGTAGGCCATAGTGCCGCTGTCCGGGCTAAATTGCCCTCATAGCTCACTGTATGGCGTATGCCAGTCTTCATTAGCCCAGTTGGAGCAGAACAGTAGGACGGTAAACCCCATTTCATTTCATTTCAACTTACCGTCCATATTCCGATGAAAGTACAATATAATTTAAGATAGGCTATTATCACAATAACTGTATCTCAATGACCATAGGACTGTATTATAATGACCATATGATAGTATCATAATGACCATTTGATAGAA